AATGCGTGTTTATACATTTTGGTGGAATAGGAACAGCATCGAATTCTGTGGCATCGACAGTTAAGACGACCAATAGGAAGTAACATTTGAAGTGACATTGATAGTCAGGACAACCAATAAGAAACAACATTGAAGTATTTGACTTTGACAGTTATAGCGACCATAATTTTGACCAATAGAAATCGACCAATAGGACTTGACCAATAATTCTCTTAGGATATTGGATGAATATCCTAACATGAATGCTTATTGATTGTTTTTGAGAATCTCTCCAGTTGATATCAATCAGTTCACAATAAAAATTTACAACTAATTCATATTTAAAAATAAATTATTATGAAGCCAATTTTTTAACGTAATATTCTGTATATATTACAAATGATTCTTTCAATCATAGATAGTTGAAAATAAATTGTTCTTGTATATAAAAATGTCACTGACAAATTTATCTAAACAGAATAGATAGAATGCGGCTACCAGCGGAAAGCAAGACGCGCATTTTGTCCTATTTTACGACACATCTTTAGTTGGATATATCTAATTCACTAAGGTAGTCGAACCCAGTACTGTTTGTTTTGAATTCTGTTGATTTTCAAGAAAGTAATAGGGAGAGAGAGAGTGATTGAGAAAGAGAAATGTATCCATCTTCTTTTTAAGCAACCGACTGCTATTTTATTTATTTTTTTTTCTATTTAGGTTGGTTAAGGTTAAACTGTTTACCATTGTTATTCAAATATGAAGATAATCAGCAGTTGTTATGTGCTACAAGTTCTAAGAAATTGGTGAGATTGTTGGCAATTGTTGTAATTTTACAGTAAAGTAGTTGATATTTTTTTATATATGAATAATTGTTTAATAAAATAGTTTTCTATTGTTCATTATCATTAAAAACTGAGATTAGTTGAAAAATCAAAGTACGTGGCACATATTGAAAGCTCGAATAAGCATCAACATTTCTAGATAAAAAAGAGAGAGAGATTGTCCATTTAACTAATTGTGAAATTTAATCTTTCACATTTTTAAAATTTAAACTCGAATGTGTGTTCTCATTGAATGAATATAATATTTGACTATGGACATGATTTGTTCTACCAGTTTTTGGTTTTATTACGGAAACTGTTGATTGACTGTTTTGATTTTTAAGTTTTGGTTTTTTCTAATTGAAATTCATCTTAGCGTATTTATATCTGAATTTGGCAACTTATATTAAGTTTAAAGGGTAATATGTCTATCTATGATTGTGATATTTGAATGAACGTAATTGAAATAACACAGGGCTACATCATTTCTGTCATAGATATGCGTTGCTGATGAATGGTATGAAACATGGGTTCATGGTTTTCTGTCGATTAATTTTTTTCATGAAAATACAGTACATATATGTTCTGTTTTTTATTTAACATCTTATATCAAAAGCTTTGTACAAACAACTCATATCTAAATCAAGATATTAAGTAAATTTAGATTTTTGATAAATTTTGACTCGCTTTTAAACATTTTGTGTCCGGCATTGTTAGACCAGCATTAGAAACCTGGAAGCACCGGACGGCCGTTTCGTCCTGGTATGGACTCCTGCACCTCGCAGGATTCGAACCCGGGACTTTTGGAATTGTGCGCGAACGCCTAACCACTGGACCACTGTGCCGACATCCAACGGTGTTAATGTCTAACTCTGATTGATGCGCACTGCTGATGAGTCCCATACCAGGATGAAACGGCCGTCCAGTGCCTCCAGGTTTCTAATGGTTGTCTAACAAATGATTGATTGATCATTTCAAATGTGTAATATGTTTTTGTCAGAAGAAAAAAATTCTGAGCGTTCAAAAGTACAGAACAATACTGAATGTTAAAACTTAACCGACGATAAATAATGAATGATGCATAATTATACATTCTAATAGATTTATATCGGCTGAAGTTTCCAATCATTGTTCATAGTCGCCTCATGGATCTTAACCAAAATGTTTTCAGATATATCAACAAGACTCAGTCTAACATTTTGGTGGTTTCAATGGATTGTTACACTACGTTTTGGTTCGGTCACATTGAATTCTCTTTTTAACTATTCATACTCCATCTAAAATTACGCGTCAAGGAAGATTTAAATCATTTATGGTTATACATAGTACTTTCATGAGACAGATGTATTATTAGAACTAAGTTGGACGCATAAAAAAAATAGATTTATGAAAGTACTTCATTAATATTGCCCTCATGATTATAGACTGGTTTCATAAAATAACATCATGAAATTACAATCATTGTCAAATAATGTTGTATAATGAATAAAACAGACAAAACATGAGCCCATCACAATAAACATCATTGTTTATTATTAGGTATTAAAGATCTGTGTTACTTAAATAAATTATAGTAGCATTGTTGTTCATACGTAATTGATTTTACTGTTTTACAACTAAGACTTCGTTAGAACAAAAAAAAGAAAAGCCGATTTATTGTTCACAAGAAAATGACATTCAGTCAACGAACGAAGAAACTTCACACTTATGGTTGAAAGAATCAGATTGGTTATATGATAAAATTGAATCTGAGTGAGTTATTAAAATTCCTTCAAATTTCCAAGAAATTTTTAATGTCTATACATTGAATATTTTTGATGTTATATGTGTTTATATGGAGCAAAGATCTGTGATGAGTAACGCGATCGGACTTAAACTGATCTCTATAAATCTTCCATCTTAAGGTTAGTTCTATGAGTATCATTAAATAGTTGCCAGATGAATTCTGTATGTCTTATTGAAAGAACATTTATTCAGTCATGTTATTAATGAAGCAGTTAACAATTAATAATACTGGTATACAGTCACGCCGTATCATTTACGACTAGAACATTTTGATTTTAGTAGATTCCGATTTATAGCAGGAAACTTATGAAATATACATTTATTAATTTTACTACAGAATGAAGGGTCATTGAATATGATTTTTAAACCATTATCAAAATTTCTCTTATCAACTCAACAGTCTTCACAACTGTCTAATAAAAAGTTTCTTTTGACAGCTTCTCAATATTAAAGAGTTCAGATTTCTGTTGGGTAAGCTTAACGAATTATCAGACAAGTTAATTTTAGTTTCATGCATGTCATTTGTATGCTGATTTAGTAACAACACTTGGTAGGTTTAGAGGAAGTTGTTACTAATTTAATGGTCGGGTTTTCCATAGATTATTTTCCATTCCAAAAACTTGTAATCGGAATTTTTGTTATAGGGACGTCGAGATTGTTGGGTTCAATTGAAATTCTGGATCAATTTTTGGTAGACCACTATTAGAGACCTGGAAGCACTGAATGGTTGTCTTGTTCTAGTATACGACTCATTAATGAAAGTGTGCATCTACTATCCAGCATGTAAAAGTCGAACTCAGGACCGTCAGTCTCGCGCACAAACGCTTAACCACAAGGCGACAGAACGAAATGGCCACCCAGTGCTACCAGGTTATTAGCAGCTATCTAACTTGGATCGATTCATGATTAAGATGGAACTCAACACTCTTCACAATCCTATAATGAATCATTAGTGACTAGCTTAAGGAGGAGGGTCTCGAAGTTCTAGCGAGTAGCCTCCGTTCAGTGGAGTCAAACGTGTCGCTGTGAGACAGTTACTCATCAAAAACAGTAGATGCTGGATGCGGAGTATCGTGCATTGACCTTACTTAGACATTAACACTGTTGAATGCCGGCTCAGTGGTCTAGAGGTTAATCGTTCGCGCGCAAAATCAAAGTTCCTAGGAATAGTTGGAATTCGTTTTTGTTGAGGCCCCTACATATTAAAACACAACCCATGTGGGAAAAAACTGGTCAAATTTATTAATAATTCGATGTTTTTAGTGAGTTATAGTTGAAGATATTCTGTTTATGTTTGTGAAATCTTAAATGATACCTAGATATTTTACACATACACAATTGTAAATATCTATTAGGACATCAATTTTTAATGCGTTTCTTTGTTCAATTTTACAAAAATGGTTGTCGGTGCATTGATCAGTGTAAACTAGCAAGTTTTCAACGAATTACAGTCTCTGTAAGGAGTTAATATGTTCTATATTTCCAAATGTGGCCTATCTTTTTATCACTGAATTTAAACCATCTCTAAAATAAGCAGTATAAATACTTACCGTCAGTCTTTGTAAAATTTTAGATAGCCCCTTATGGGCAGTCTCATTAACGCGAAGCCTAAGCTAAAAGGAACGTATGCCCTGACATTAAAATAGATTACACACGAAGTTGAGTTGCATAGACTGATTACCATGATGCTTCTAAATTTCTCTTTCTCTCGACTAAACATTGAAGACAATGGTTATTAATGATTCATGTATTTAATAATAATAATAATAATAATATTGATTACATTACTATTTTTTACCGTTTTCATAGCAAACTTTACGAATGTATGTACAACAATGAAGATATAGATAAACGTAAACAGTTGACAGATACCATTTGGGCTACGATTGAAAAAGAATTAAGGTGAAAAATGTGAAGAATAATCCATAAAAGTTTATTTTTTGTGGTTATTGTATTGTGAAAATTGTTTTAATCTTTTAAAATTAGGATATTTCTCTCATTTTGTGTTTGACATTATGGGTTGATTTTAGTTAAATAGTTAATTGAAAAACAGAAAGGATTAGATAGAATTGTTTTCGTCTTACTACATGACACCATTTTCGGCAGTGAACAACCATCATGCCAAAAACGGAAAAACTTACAGAACCTTCAATCAGACCTCATAATGTGCAGTTTACCTTCAAATTATTGAGTTAACATCTAATTATTTACATTTCTAGTTGTTATGCGATATTCTTTGATCGTTATCTATTGGGATTGATGAAATCTATCTCAAAGTTGACATGATTGAACTCCATCGATGGTGGTTTTTTTACTAAACTTCAGATAATCACCTTTAAAAGTATCCTACCAGTAAACAATTAATAATAAAAATAATAATTATTATTATTCTATACCACTGAGTCGACATCCAATGCTAGGTTGTGACAGCCATCTAGTGGTTCCAGGTTTATAATTTGTGGTCAAACAATGATCGATTTATAATTTCAATGAAACTCGATAATCTCCATAACTCTATAATGTAAAAACAATAGCATTTGACTGAAATTAAAATATTACAATAAATAGATTTATAATTTGTAGTCAAATAATATTTGATCATTGAAAACGATTAGCAAGAAGCTTTGAATCTAAACCACTTCCTAGTTGACAATCATCATTAAACATGTGTTGATAATCTTCAAAGAGCTGATTTTCCCCTTTAGGATTCAAACTAGCATCTCATTTAGAGAAATGAAGCAAACGGTACTGGATCCAAATTCCTGTGTGAATATCAACTCTAAGATACAGGTACATCCAGCTAAAGACGAGTCTCATCATATTGGGAAGAAACATGCGTCTTGGATTCCACTGCTATTCACTATCCATCCCTGCTGAAATCATTAATATTTAACACAATTTAATATATATCAATAAATTGTAAGCTTTTTACTAAAACCTGTGAGTAAATTATGCAGTCAATTAACACAATATCATATATATCCTTGAAATTTAAATATGTTGTAAGTAGTTATTTTAAAGTACATTTAAACCATACTTTATCAGTATTATTTACGTGATGTCATCGTTGTAGTATATTCAGAGTGTATATGCCGTTTAATTATAGGTAAGCATTTAATAACAGAATTATAAAATCTTTAACATATTATATAATTGTATCAATAAAATCAAATTTTTAATAATTAGACTCAAAATTATTATGTCATTAACTGTAGATGCATCATTGAAAGTTGGTTTATTATTATTATTATTATTAAACTTGACTTGCATTTTCTTTCGAAGCAAAATTTTTCTGACTTCCAGGTTGATTGTGATGTTCAACAAAAGTGTAAATATGAACGAAGATCAGTGAGACTAGATCGAATAAGTGATTTATTTATAACATAGTTTACTAGCAAACTTCCATTCGCAAATCAAGCGAATTGTGTTGGCTGTCTTCTTTCGGATCCCACACAACTCTTCTCTTCAGTAGCAACACTTCAAGTGCACACTAATTATAAGCCACCACCACTACAGAAGTATTAATGACAAACACATTTTCAGTGAAATTATCAATAAAATCACCATTATTTACAATATTAATTAAACAGTTGAATATGAAAAGTAGAATGTGAATATATTTTGATGTATTTGAATAACATAAAATTACTAGTGAATTGTATAAATAAATTTTGAAAAATTCAATGCATCAATTAATAGCTTATTTTGTTTTCTACTTTTATTCACTTCGGTGGTATTAGATCACTTGAAATAATCTTCAATGAATTGGAATCACAGTATTTATCATCATCATCAACAGCGTCGTCATCAACATCAACAGCATCGTCATCGTCATCAACATCAACATCATCGTCATCAACATCAACAGCATCGTCATCGTCAACATCATCTACATCAACATCATCATCAACATCCTCGTCATCATCAACATCATCGTCATCAACATCAACATCATCGTCATCAACATCAACAGCATCGTCATCATCATCAACATCATCATCATCGTCATCATCAACAGCATCATCATCAATGTCGATCAAAAGTACTTCTCCAATATTTTTACTAACAACACAGTATTATGCTTATTTACAATCGATAAAATATTATCATAATAATTATACAAGAGAAAAAACTGTCAACAATTTTCAATTATTTCTATGGTTAAAACAACAATTGTTAATTTCAAAGCATTTTCACAAATTAATCAATACATGGCAAAAAGATAAATTAATTAGTTTCACAATACCTGCTTCAATAATTGTCAATCCTAAATTATTATTCGATTGGATTATTCATCATACTACATCTATTAATTCAATGGAACAACACTATCAAATAATATCTACTGTAAGAGTAATAAGTAGTGTAAATAATTTTATATAATATGATAAATTTTAATAAATTTTAACTGATAAAACTTTTCAAATGAATGATCAAGTTGCATGCATTGAATGGTAGTTGCCTATCCTTAGTACCACCAAATATAATTTACAAATAGTCTCTGAACTAGAACATCAGAAAACATTTCGTCATAGATTAATTCAGGTTGATGTACTATTGTAAACCAGCAGTAACTGGGCATTGTTCATTCTAGTACAGAATAATTCAATAGTGTATATTCATGACCCTAACACCTAGGGACTGAATTCGAGATTGTTAAGTCTCAACGAAAAAATACTTTGTCACTGGGTCGATATCACCTGGAAACAATCTGTGTCAAATAAAACCTATGAATTATATTCATCTACATAAAACTCTTTCAACTAGACTATTATCTATGTTGAATCACTACAGCTTTGTTATATTACTTTCACTCAAAAGGTTATTTATTATATGAGCATCAAAATAAAAAATTATGCAAAATAATATCAGGCAAAGTGGTCTGGGAAACAAGATTAGTTCGAGTTAATAACTCCAGTTATATCTGACTTCAGAGCATGGCTGTTAACGTTTAAATCCAGAGAATTGAGATGCATATAACAATTGTCATTTATCTTCGAAAATAGTATTATAAACTGGCTTCAAAGTTAATTAATCTTAAGCCAACCAAGAACAACAATATTTGCAGAGTAAAATGAATTTATGGTATTCTGTTGATTTATATTGAATGACATACAAGTAAATTTGTTAGCTTATTTCCAGTTATCATAACAGTCCTGTTGGGGATGTTAGATCCACAGAACTCACTTGATTAATATCTGTATTTTGGATTTATTTCATGGACCGATCAGTTGACCTTGAGATCACATTTCCCACCAGGAAAATCCTTGGCTGTGATTGGTTACTGTGTCATTTTAGTGTGCTATTTTTGTGACTGTCCCAAGGACGTCTCTATAGAGTATAAATAAACGCGATTTGAGTGCTTGGATTCATTGTGTGTTGGCTGGGTGTTTGTAGAATACAATTTCTACGCTATATCAAGACTTCTTACTAATTCAATTTGGTCTAGGGATCACAGTAGCCTACCTGGACGCTGGTTCATTGTTTTGTTCTCATTATTCGACTAAGATGAACCCGTAATAGTTTAAGCATACCTAGAGACGAGCTTAACAAGTCCAAACAGTAACTGACATAGTAATCAATAGATGATGTTCTAACGATAGAATCTGATGTTTTAAAATGATCTATCCATTATGCCATACATTTGTGTCAGTATGATTAAGCATATGTCTGCAGGTCAACAGTGTACCTAGTTCTCTAATTGATTGTAAACATAGACAGTTAATAAACTTTGTCTACCAATTGATTAACATTGACAAATACACTTATTGTTCAGCCATTGAATCGAACACTGGTAGGTTTTCCCATCTTATCTCATAGGTTCGAATAATTTGCTAAGATTACACACTAGCTCCAACAACCGGTGTTCTGATTTCGAATTATTCTTGCGTAAATGCATAGTAATACATGCTACAGTGCACAGTTGACAGGAAAATATACTGCAGTCAAATATATGAAGGAAACAACCACCAGTATCTACACCATGATCCCGATTATATTCATCTAAAAATAGAATACCAGTTAGATATTCAAATGCTCTAAAAACTTGTTAATGTTAGAAAATATTCTTTTATACACACACAATAAATATATGAATCGATCAATTTCTTGCAATAATCCAAAATTCTTATTTCGAAATGATATCCTACATAATTTACCTGCATACTTTTAGGCTATTTACCTTCGCTTATTTATTTCAAAGTATTAAGCCTAGTGAGTCCTATACTAGTGTGACGTACAAATAAGTCAAGACTAGATGGAACATATCTATATAAATATATATTTGAAGAAGACAGAATTCACTAGCAAAATACGTAAACATAATTTCCAAACATACTCACAATCCAAGCAAGATAGTGACTGTCTTATTTCTTTCATATCTCTTCAATATATTTTGATTATACCATGCATTGCGATCACCTGATTCTCATCTTCTCTGGTAGCAACGTTACGCTGCATACTATGTATATGCCACTTGTGAGTAGCATCCATCGCACTAGGAAGAAAATAGCTGTTCAGTGCTTTCACGTCTGTGATCTCAATAGTTTTAAGCCTTGTGAGAAATAAGTTGGTTTCATTTAGAGTTGCTATCCATTTTTAGTTCTAGTTACATGTATATAGTATATGTTGACATCAAACACACAATACATAGTTGATAATAATAATAATAATGAAAGTATCATCTTATATGCTACTAAACAAATTATAATGTACATGCTTTCACAGCATATCGTTACTGTTTTTAACGATTATTCTTTAGATTATAAAGCCAGGTGAGAAAGAATTATTCAAAAATGGATTAATTATCACTTCTGTACGTTTATTAATTCATCGAAATACTACTAAATTATTGATCAACAATAATCACAACAAACAAAACAATTTAAGAAATTCAATTAAAACTACGAGAGTATTGAGTCTACGATTGACAACTGTACCTAATGAAATATTCAATAAAATGAATTGTATCAATGCAACATGGATTGAATCATGGCCACCTAATACAAATCAACTTTGTCCTAACATACCTTTATTATTGACAAATTATGATGAATTATCAAAAATTTATATTTTAATTGATTATAATTTGTAAACCAATAATGAACTCATCAATTTTTATCTAAAAATTTAATTATTTCCTGAAAATTAAATAATAAAAATCATTGGAATATTTTAATAAATCAAGGCATGTTTTTTGATGTCATTTCCCTCTCTCCATCTTGACTGTAAGTGTGCGTCAGCAGTGACGACTTTGTAATTTTGTCCGAATAACATCAGCTCACTTTTACGTTGAAATAACATTGATTTTGATTGATGTTACAACAAATGCGTGAACTAGTGGGATGGATATTTAAAGATTATTGAAACTTGGGAAACACTCAGGAAAAGTATGAAATACGGAGAATTGTTTATATGAAGTGTTTGAGGAAACTAACGCTTTTAATGGATCAAGCTACGAAAAATGTACGTATTATTATGCTAGGGTTAAGACAACCGTTGATCTCCGGTGCTCATAAAAATACCAAAAATGTATGGTTTCCTCAGCTTATTGATCGTTGATCATGAGGTTCCATGGTAGGCTTTCTACTCGAACACTACTGGTCGAGTGACAATTTATGGCGAACTGTCATGGGGATCGATTACTTAGAGTGGTATTCGCCAGGGTTGTCTACTGTCCCCATTCGTATTTAACTTTATCATCGGCAAGCTTTCTTTCATCTGACATTTCAGTTCTAGCAGTCATACCACATGAGCATAGAGAGATCAGTTTGTCAATTCAAATAACATAGTAGCAAAGGTAGTACCAGTATTAGCGGTAATAGAAAAGATTAGGGTTCGACGATATGATCCAAGAAGTATAATTCAGTGAGGTATATTTATAAATAGAAAAAAAGTCACGAGGAATTCAGAAGATCGGAATTTGAGAGAACACAAAGAATGGATGCACCTGCGCGATTTTAAACTATTTTGAGCCATGTTATCCAAAGTCTCTAAACGCCGGTTACTATCACCTCGCGGACCATAACCAGGTAGCCTTCACCTAATAACATGGCTCACTCCAGTTGTCAGTGACTTTATAGATTTGTGCTATGTTTTCGTTTGGCCTACCTAGCC